GGGAAACAGTTATGAAATAAGTAAAGATATAAATCATTTCAATACTATTATAAAGTGCAATATATAACTAATATGAAGACAAATATAGTTACCTAATTCCAGTGTCATACACAAAATATAAACCACTCCAATTAAATTACATAATCAACTTCTGCCAAATACTTGTTTTGTCTTTTGTTTTTTTCAGAGTTTAATAAGTATATAACTAAACATAAAAAAGGAAAGAAATTCACATCAATGCCCAAATATCATCTGTCTTCTCAAATCTAAAATTTTGGAAGCTATAACGCTTCCTTTTTAAACTGTGTTTTTTTTTCTTTCACTAAATATTAATGCTGATCCATTAATGTTACTTTTTCCATTTTACTCATTCATTCCCTTATTCAACAAATACCTTGCATACCTACAGTGTACAAGGTTCTTTCTAGGCCCTAAAGATCACTAAATAAAACATTTTAAAAATCACCGCTTTCTTGGAATTTCCATTCCAGTGGATACAGATCACGAAACACCTTTGTCAATTATGTATCTGCCAAAAATTCATTGAGGGAAGAAATAAAATGTTTCAAGGATTAGCCTATTGATGCTCGCCACACCCATGCCACTGTTGCTAAGGTAAAATTCAAAACTGCTGAACTAAAAAAAGGAGAAATGTAGGAAGATGAGAGATATTTCCTCTACAGCCTACTTCTTAGCTATGACAGAGGTATTAACCAAAACCAATCAAATTGAGAAATCAGTCTTCTGTTGTAAAAGTATTAATTTCTGAAGTGGCTAGATTATTTCTCTTCCATACCCTATTAGCACCTTTTCATTATAAAGCTACTTAGTAAAGCTAATTCTCTAACAAAACAGCCTTGTTGGCTGATTTCGTCAAGAGAAGTACATTCCAGTACATGATATATGACAGCCAGAGAGACATTCACAAAGTGACAGTGCCATCAATGCTTCTAGGAATTAGTGTTCTTTTACACTGTGGTGAAGATCTAAATTAATCAACCTGAGTATAGACATACTTGAAACTAGAAATTGAGTGAGATCAAACTTTATCTTTCAGGTAAAAGAATTTCAGAGGCCATGCTCATCATTGATTAATGTAGGAAAAAAAAAAACACAGTATACTAAATAATCACTGCCAAAACAACAGAAGGCATGAGATCAGCTTCCTGTTTAAATAAATCTATGTTAAATACTCATCAGCATTACAAAGAGCAAGAATGTAACTTCACTATACCAAAGCCTTCTTTCTTAAAATATGTGGGGAAAAAAAATAAATCTTTACAACTTCCATATAAACTTTCGTTTCTAAACCAGGCATGATACCATAAACCTGTAATGCCAGCACTCAGGAGGCTGACGAAGGAGGAACACCATGACTTCAAGGCCAGCTTGGGCTACACACTGAGTTCAAGGCCAGCCTGAATTATAAAGCGAGACTCTGTCTTAAAACACCAAAAACAAAAATTAATTTTTAGTAAACCTTATAGTTTCAGAATTTTTAAATCATACCTAAATTCTACCGGCTGCAGTTTACAGCTCCTTGACACTTTGTTACTAATAACAATATAGAATTTCTCAATCAATAATTCTAAATTTCTAAGAAGGCCACAAGATTAACCTTTTAACAATTTCCCACTCTTTCAAAATATTCCATCCAGCCTAAACTTATAGGCCCAGAGAAAACCAGGAAATATAAGAAAATTCTACAAATCCAGTATTATACACTGATAAAAATTCATTGTCTCTGGGCTTTATTTGTATGTCACTTAACACAACATTCAATCAAACCAAAAGTATTAATTCTGAGAATGGTACAAATTCAATCAAGTAGGAAGTTTCTCCACTTATAAATAAGTTAACCCCGTTCTACCTAATAAGTAAGCTTCTAAGATAGTAAAGGGAACCAAACACAAATTTCTACAATAAACTTTGACACTTCAGAAATATCAAAGTTAATCGCTTCTCGGCCTTTTGGCTAAGATCAAGTGTAGAAATATCAAAGTTAATCACCAATTTTTCTGTCCTTCACATCTTCTGTGTGTATCATAGTAAACAAATGCTTAACTAAATCCTGCACAGAATCTTTGTTTTTTCTGAAGAAATCTTGCTTCCTCTATCAAGATCCAATCAAAAAAGTTACATCTCCTACCAAAAAAAAAAAAAACCCAAAACACATCAAGAGGTAATCAGCACTTTTCTTTCACCAATATGTGACCTATGTTTTTCATACCATATTTACTTCACTGTACTATATAATGTGTTTATAATTTTCAAACTAAAACAGCATTTGTTAGCATATTAAAAATCCTCATTACTTCTGAATCCAATAGGAAATATATCAGAGAATATCTTACAAAAGGCAAGAGGTTCATGGACAAAAGAGTGGGCCTTCACAAAACAGTTCACATAGATATAGACCATCCTTCTCTCACACCAGTTAAGTTCCTACTTCCTGACTTTCTCATTCACCCAATGTTAAATCCACCAAAACTTCTGAATCTTGTGTAAATTCTCTCTCTCTCCTACACTCATCATAGTTTGTCTGTCTTCCAATTTCAATACAAATGTCCTTCTTCAGTCCCTCTTTTCCAGTGACAAACTATAAAAAAAGGGTCCTAACTACACCATAATCAATACTAAGGTATAATTTAAGAGCACTTGTAAAACACATAAAAAAGAATAAATTAATAAACTATATCCTGCTATATATAAAAAGAAAATTCTACTGTGACAAAGGATTATCCCACAAATGCAAGATTAGTTTAACATTTACTAGGAGTCTCAACAAGTTGATTAAGGGGAAAAAAGAAGAAAAAGTGTCTCAGTTGATGTTGTTTGTATACTAGGAAAACACTAAATATAAAGGAATCAACAAGAATAATAACAATACTAGAACAAATGAATGACCTTAGCAAGGTTGAAAAATACAATGTTAATATTTTTTATTCAATTGTATTTCTATATACAAGAAATAAATTCTATAATTTAAAATTTTAATATTATTTATAACTGTATCATAACAGGAAAATTAGGGATAATTCTAAAAATGATGTGTAACTCTTGTTTGCTAAAACCTACAAAAACAACCTTAATAAATTCTATATTCAAGGATTAGAAGACCCAATAGTAAGATATCATACCCATTCTTAAATCTATATATTGAACATAATCGTATCAACAGATGAGCACGTTCTTTTCTAAAAAGAACAAACTGACTCGAAGATTTACAAGGAATTAACATGCCCTAAAGATACAGGGTAACCCAAAAACCTACCATTATATTCAAAAAGTAGAAATAAAAAGAATTACACTGAGAAGTAAAGGACTTTATAAGCTTACCTTCTGAAACTTTTATAGTTTACTATAATTATCTAAGTACACAAACATATGGGTCTTTCAGATTTCTACCCACTGCCAAGCTCATGTATTCATAATACACACTGTATTAATCCTCACACAAAGAAAGTACTTACAGGGTGACAATATTAACAATATTCATTGAAAATAAAACTGAGTTGTAATCTAGTATTAATCAGGGAGTTCATAAAGTACATAGAGACCATATATCTTTTATCTGTATATTTCATAATTATGTTATTTTACTAGCATATTAAAAAAAGTTAAGAGCATCTTCAGACATTACTATTTGCACAAATTTTCTTTCAGTTGCCCTATAGCAAGTTCTCAAAATATGACTAAAGACTGGCAAAGACTCTTCATAATAATAATAATAAAATCTGATTCATCTTTGCATACTCAATTCTCATTATAACTAAAAATGTAAAGCACAACTTTTCCAAAGATAGCATGACCCACTATAATAACAACAGATAAAAGGCAGAGGCAAAGATGAGAACCATGCCAGCAACTAGAAGCACTTGCAAGGCTGTTCTTTTTTTTTTTTCTTAAAGGCTTGGAATGTCATTAATTTTTGTTTTTATGTTAACATAAAATGGATATATAATTGTGATTTTAATTTTAAGTAAATAATCATTATTTTAAATTCTCAATTTTACACTTTCCTATGGTAAACACTTATATACATACACATTAATAAAGTTCTTTGAGTCCTCAAAAATTTAAAGAATATAAAATGGCTCTGATACCAAAAACATTAATACTGCCATACAGCAACAAACAATTTCTAAGCAGAACATGTGGTGAGAACAACCCTGATTATGAAAAAAAAGAAAAAAAGTTATTTGAAAAAAGATTATCAAATGTTAATGTTTAGATTTTCTTAGTTGGACATTATATTAAGCCTCTTGCAGATCTAGTAAAATTCAGAGCACAGGGCCCAGATATCTAAGACAGACACACAGCATTTCTCAGCCTAGCTACTTGTTTTCCTTGTTCCCATCACAATGCACCCCTACGATAACAGAATGGAAAAGTATTTTTCCAAGTTCCCTGTCCAACTATTAAAGTTAGACATTGCCTACACATTAACCCTACCACTGCTCTTACCCTCTTGCACTTACCTCCTCCATGCTTACCACCTTCTAACGTATTGTACCTTGACCTATTTACTGCATGTATTTTCTGTCCCCGCAGCCAAAATAAGGTAAGCTATGTAAGAGTCAGGTTTTATTCTGCCTCATTTACTGATGTACTTTAGCAACTAAAAGAGTGCCAAACACAAAGTAGGCACAAAATAAATAATTATTGAGTGAATTAATGGGTGTTTTACTGAAGCAAAATGTAAACTATGTCATTTTACCAAGTAGATCTCTGATGTCTTAGCAAACCAATACCTGCACTCGGACAGTGGTTATGTGCTGTGCACATGTGAGGGATGCTATGACTGAAGGGAAATTCCTGGGGCTCAACAGTTCCTCTTCTAGTCTCAGAAAGGAAGAAAGATGAGAAGACAAGAGACAAGAAAGGGAGATGGATAGGAAGACAGTTCAAACTAGAGGCAGTACAAGTAGGCTTTTTTCTAAACCTAGTGTTCCATGAATATAAACAAAGAAAAATAAGAATAAGCAGAGCTAACGCACCTCTCTTCTCCTGATGTATTTCGTCCAGAAGCTGCTCCTGCCTTTCTATCTGTTCAAAGAGACACTGCAGCTCAGATTCCTTACTCTCCGTCAGCTCCCTGAGCTGCTGTCTGCAGAGCATCAGCTGGTGCCGCAAATTCTTCTCTCTGTTTTCTCTTTCTTTTAGTTCCTCACAGAGCCACTGAAGTTTAGTCTAAAAAATGAAATATCTACTTTTTAAAAAAACAAAACCAAACCCAGAAGACAGTAGCATTTCAAAATATAAAAAATAAAGCAACACAATCAGAAAAAAAGATGACTATCAAATTTAAGCAAAATTTTAAAAATCCATGTTTTAATTTGTATGCAAATTTAGCTTCTGAACACCTAAAATCTTGTCCAGATATAAAATAATAACATCCTTAGATTTTTATAAAATACTTGGTATACTCCATCATCCTCAGAATAGAAACACCACAGAAGAGCTTAACTATTACATTTCTAATCATATTACAAGTGGTGCCCTGATCTCACAGGTAAAGCAATGAAGATACCACCAAGTGAAAATAAAAAGCATCCTAGGATAGGATTATTTTATTTCAGAGACTTTTAAAAAAGTGAAGATGAGGTTCCGACTCATGATGCCTAAAAATGCAAGAGGGCCAATGAATCAGGTAGAGGGAGAGATTATCTATAAACCACAGGAATGAGGTCAATATTTGCCCACATTCAGGAGGCTAGGAATACATATAAAAAGTAAAGGTTTGTGTTTCATCAAGATAAATTATCTTCTTTTCTGCTATTAGCTTTTTGATTATCTAAGAAACTATGTATTAACATAGGACTTGATATCTCCAATTGTGTATCTGAGACTAGACAAGTATACATCTATACATTTGCATTCCCTAAGTTCACAAGTCTTCTAAAGTACAGCACTTGAGGAAAACACCTTAACATACTGCTCCTCCGTCCCCCAAGCTTCCAAGAACCAACACTGTTTGTAATAATATACATTTTTTCGGTTGCATTCCTAATTGTATTAGGATAATCAATATGCCTACACATGGTACATTCCAAAATTAGTCACCTAATTTTTTTACATCTGTACACAAATACTTGAACCTACGTCTGACAAAACTAGACTTTCTGTTTTTTAAATTATTATGTTAACTGGATTTGTTCTGCTTTTATCTTTAAGATTTTCCTTGTAAAACTTTTAAACTGTGGTCTGTTAACATTCTTCAGAAGCATGACTTTTAACAGATAACCTGAATAGTATTTTATGATGATAGGTAATTACCTATATGATAGATGGGATATGATACTGACCCTCAGTATCCAGTGGAAACTTCAACAGGATCAAGACCTACTACTCCCACTTTAAGACTGGTGTAACTGGCCTTGTAGGTATTCAACAACCAAAGCCTGGAGACCAAAGCTAAGGAAGACAAAAGGACAAAGAGAATAACCAATACTTTGGCCACTACCCTTCAAGGTCAGCTCTGACCCAGGGTACAATGGGACCTCAAAGGAAGGGTCCTATAACTCCAGTGAGTCACATAATCTCCCAAGCAGGGGCATTCTCAGACCCCAGAGGACAGGAGTCAATGTGCCTTGTGCTAACAGGAGGGGTGACTAAAGAGAAGCGTGTCCCATGCTTCTAAGAAAAGCCATATATACAGCCAAGCAAGACCAAGACCATTGAGGCAGATGACACAAATGGTAACGATCTAAGGAAGCCAAAAAGGCTCTTCGCACTTTCCTAAAATTCTGATCACCGACTTGGTTTTAAATGTTCAATGGCAAAGTATAAGAGTAAAATAGTTAACATTTAAAAAGAGAGGAAGGGAGAGATTATTATCTTTTGTCTCTTTCCCCATTAGATTAAGTAGGATAAAGTCTTTCAGGGAAGAATGATACAAGCCTGATACAAAAAAGGGTTTACAGCCAAATTCCTTGGCCCTTACCTTCTACTCATTAAAAGTATAATTTGTTTTTTCTTCTCAGATAGTTAAGAACTTAAAAGCCATTTCTGCTATAAACCATGATATTTCACGGGGGTCTACAGATGACCAAGAAGTAACTAAAAGCAGAACAAAGTTTGAATATTTTGTATCTTTGTTCCTTAAAACTTTAGGTCAAATCCCTTTTGAACTTTGCATATAGGTGTGTTAATATTTAGGCAGTTATCATCTTTTTAAAAGTTAGCAAAATCAGCCGGGCCTGGTGGCACACACCTGTAATCCCAGCACTCAGGAGGCTGAGGCAGGGGATCGCTGTGAGTTCGAGACCAGCCTGGGCTACATAGTGAGTTCTAGGTCAGTTTCAACTACATAGTGAGACCCTATCTCAAAAAAACAAAAAACAACAACAACAAAAAAAAAAGTTAGCAAAATAAGGTTGATTAGCCTCAATTTATATAACCTCACTTCCTCCAAGATTAAAGACATCAGAATTGGGTACTTCCCAGGACACTGAACAATGCCTGGAATACATTATGTACATCTTTATGCATTATGCATATCATTATGTATATGAAAAGTGTACAATAAAATTAATTTTTACTCTGGTGTAAAAAACTGTAATAGTACACAAGATCCTAATGAGATAATTAACAATGTGAAATAGGAAGAAAAGGGCTAAAGGTGTTGGGAAAGTGGGAAGGGTGGGGGAAAGGGAATAAGGGAAAAGAAAAAAATATGAAAAAATTGAAATAAAGTGTTTATAAATGGGGAGGGGAGGGGGGGGTGACGGGAGGGCAGGGACAAGGGGAAAAAATGAGAACCAAGACCTGTCATATAAAAGTGCAAGATCCTAGTAATGAACATAACTATGCTGTGTGCCTGGAACATACCAATAAACTCAATAAAAAGAGAAAAATAAATAAATAAAAAAATAAAATAAAATTAATTTTTAAAAAATGTTTGGAAGCCTCGAGTTATTTTGCTAAACCTGATTACGTAGATTTCAGGAAAGGGGAAGCCTTACCTGATCCAGTCCGGCACTGACATAGATAATCCTTAAATGGAAAGGAGCCCACCACTTTGCCAGAAAGATTCTAGAGCTATGCTACTAGAACTGAGAAAAATGATCCACTGGACCCCAGCCCTCAGCTACTCCTTAAGGCTGGTGTCCCAAGTCTGCAGCTAAACCAGCCTGAAGCCCTGTATTAGAGTGTGCCCCTCCCCCTAACTAAGCCACCTTTCTCATCTACTGAATTTCAAATTAAAGCTTTTTTTTTTCCTGAAAACAAACAAAAAAAGAGATTAGAAAGTTAATGGAGGCCATTGCTTTTCAGTGTCTAATTTCTATCTTTATTATTTAGGTATTGGAAGTAATGTGAAAGAGTATTTCTTCAACCCTTAATACAAAAGGATTAAGTCATGTCTCAAGGCCTTTCCAAATAAGGCCACCTCAAATCGCTAGTTGATCTTAAACAATCTAAACAGTCCTTACCACAATAAGAAACAAAATAAGTAAAGCAGAATTAAAAAGGGAAAATCAGGCTAAGTTATTGGCCAATTTCCTTGAACAGCATTTACTCATAAGTAGAAAAGTTCTAGGCCTCTACAAGTGTCAAGACCTCGTATCTAAAGGGGCTGTGTAAGAATATACAGTGAACTAAAATTGAGATAGGGCCCTCAGATCAAAAACTCCTCACATTTATCAGCTTTCCAACACCCAGCACCAGAGAAAAGGCACAGCCCCTTTAGTCAGAAGGCCATACAACACACAAACTCTTGTGTGACACAAAACAAAAATCATCAGTCTCAATCCCCTGGTTAACATTTTTACCCAACGATATAAGATCACATATAGAAAATAACTTCACATTTCCTCAGTGCTTTCCTACCTGCCTCATCTCAATCTCTGACCTTTGTTTACTACCTAAGGTCATTAAATACTATTGATAAGAGGTGGTAATGGAGAACAAAAAGAAAAAAAATCTGGTTTGTCCTAACAACAATCCACTGGTTCTCATAAAATTATTTTAAAAATCCAGAAACAAAGTATTAAAGCAAATCCATTATGGATTTAACTGTATCCTTGCAAAAGTCATAACTGAAAGCCCAAACCCCAAGTATAACTGTATTTCCAGAAAGCTTTAAGAAGATAATGAAGTGCAAATGAAGTCATAAGAGCAGGTTCCTAACCTGACACCATGCCTGGAGTCCCTGTAGGAGGAACAGAAGCTAGAACTCACTTTCCCTTAAGAAAGACCAAAGAAGGCCAGGAATTTAGCTCAGTGGTGCCACAGCCTACCTTGCAAGTGCAAGGACTAGAGTTCAATGCCTGGTACCAAAAAAAAAAGAAAAGAAAAAGCAGAAGAAAGACCAAATAAAGGCACAGAAAAGGTTGCCTTCCACAAGCTAGGTAAAGAGATTTTATCAGAGAATAAACCTAGCCCCTTGATCTTGGCTTGTCAGCCTGCAAATCTGTCAGAAAATGAACATCTGTTATGTGAGTCAGTGCAGTATTCATTACTGAAGCCCAAGCAGACTAACATAATATGACCTATAGTTTTAATTTACTCTATGAAGCCTTTACTCTATTATCAAATAAAATTAAAAACAGGATATAGTTAGGTGCAGATGCTTGTTGCAAATTGAATATGTATGCAGAATATGTTATTAACCAAAAACAAAAATATCAATTTATGGAAATTTAATCAACCAATGATCAATTATGACAATCAGTGTTCGTTAGATAAAATAACCAGCATCTTCATTAAGTATCCCGGAAAAGCAGCTTGAAACACAGTACCGGAATAACTTGAACAATTCCAAATAATTAGTTGACAAGGCTATTAATCATAGAGCAAAACTCATTCTATTAACCACTCAGAGGGGCATTTTACAGATCACATAATAGACTCATTTATTTAACTACATCAACAAGCATTGTTAAATAAACAAAAACAGAAAATTTCAAAGTAAAGTATATTTTTACCTTCATAGGTGCCAGCTCCCAATGAGGTGAGAATATTCACAAATATCTAGTAAAACTATAACAATGATCTTTTTAATCTATGAGAAACCTTTACTGAATTTTAGAGTAAAAATAAAGTCTCTAGGAATGATTAAAGCTGAAAACAATACTGTCAAATAAAAAGACTACTTATGGAATTAGGAATATTATTAGATCCTAAAGATTTGCTGCTTTAATTACTGTTTCCTTCATCAAAACCCTAAAAATAATTTTGAAAGAAAATTATTATACAAGAACCAGAGGGGGAAAAAAAAGAGAAGAGAAATTTTTTAGAATGTGCCAAAACAAGAACTAAACCAGAACTGCAAAATTCAAATCAACATCAATCTAAAAATACAATTATAATTTTAAAATTCTTTCTCCATGTTTTACTTAGTTATGAGTTAAGAAGCAAAAATATCCCTATATTTTAATATCTAAAATACTTTTCCTCTAATGTAACTAAATATATTATTACACTCATAAAGGGTATTTCCAAGAAATCAATCAAGATATTGAGAATAATGTTTTCACTTTTGTATCAGAAGAATAAACTACTAGACATACCCTCAACAAGAATTAAATACACTGGATCTGGTACTTCTTAACCTGTGACTTTTAAAAACACTTTTATCCCCATCATTAAGAAGACAATATTCATAAATGTAAAGCATATGCTCAAGTGGATTATACAACTAATGGAGAAAACAATGGCATAGAGTCCTAAACCCTTCTCAGTAACTAGTTAGATTTATGCCCTTAGGTTAAATTCAAAACTACCCAAACCTCAGACTTCTTACCTAAAAAAAAAGAGGAAGTCAAACTACATGACCTCTAAAGCTGTTGTGTCAGTTGCACAACAGGGAAAGGCAAATGTTTTTCAATACCTATAACTTATTATAGAACAAAAAATGTGAGTCCTAGAGACGATTCCAAACAGAGTAATACAAGAAAATCCCCAAACAACATGGAAGTATATTAATAAAACAAAGTTTACAATACATTTGATAAATAAACACAGTGCTTGGGAATTAACTATGTTTATTGAAATCTCATGATTGTTATTCATTTTTTTATAATGTATAAGCTCAGGAAGTACCCTGAATGAACTCCAGGTGATCCTCCTGCTTCAGCCTCCTGGTTCCTAGGATAACAGCCCTGCACCACCACACGCTGCAACAGTGACTCTTGCTGCTATGTTGCTCCATCCTCAGAGAGTACTTGTCTCCTCTAGATTTCAGAAACTGTCCCTGCTGTCTCATGGGAAAACTCTGCTACTTCTCATGATTTGAACCTAAACTCTGATCTGTGTCTGTCTTTGCTTCTTTTGAGACTTTCCTGACCTAAGAGACTTTTCTGTTTATCAATCCCTGCAGTGGAATCTGTCAATAACTACTGCTGGCTTGCCTACCAGGACTCTGCATGCCCATTTATTCTACCTCTAACCCTTGCTTGGAGTCTCCTAGTTTGGCTTGAGAGTCTAGACAGCTCCTTCCCCATCACTTTCTCACACAACATTAATCATCACTCACATGTTATCACCAAATTATCACTCTGTCTTTCATTGCCTCGGAATCTCTGAACAATTTCCTTGCTCTGTCTCATCTGGGCTGTGGGAAAAGCCTCTTAACTGATCTTTCTGCCTTTGATCTTATCACCTCTACTCCACCTTTCACAGTCACTATCAGAGTGATACTTCTAAAATACAAACATGAGCACTCTTTTTCTTTTTGGTACCAGGGACCAAACTCGGGGCCTTTCTCTTGGAAGGTAGACAGTGGCACCACTGAGCTCAATCCCCAGCCCGAGCATGTCACTTTCCTGTTCAAAATTCCTTTGCAATTCTGCCCTAAATGCAGATCTGAATCCAAGCTCCTGAAAATGACCTGAAATGTTCTTCTCAATGAGCTTGATCTCTGCATCTGCCTGCAAGCTCCTACGCTGCCATTCTGTCTTGCCCTTTCATTTGCCACTTTTGTGCCAAGCTGCTTGGGGATTCTTTGTTTTCATCATACTGTTTCTTTCCCAAGCCATTCCTAGGTTGTTTTCCCCTACATCATTCTCTTTCGCCTTTACTAGGCTAGATTCAACCTTCACCTGAGACATCAGGCTTCACGGTACCTTCTGTATAATTCCATCACAGCTCTTACACTTACTGCAATATTGAAATCATCTGTATGTGTATATGTACTTTCGGACAAAAGCAGTTTTCTGCAAAAGCAGAATCGCGTCTCATTCCTTTTATGTCACAGCATGTAACAAAGCATCTAAAACATGGGACCCACTCAGAAAATTCTATAAAGCTGAATAAAGGTTGGCCTCTACATACCTTGCTAAAATTTATGACAAAAACATCCCTAATGCTTTCCCTAGCATTCCTTGATAACCATCTCAACCTTTTTCCTTCCTGTAAAGTCTCATCCTGACTTTTCACTGGCAATTTTATCTGTAAATCTGTTCCAACTCTCAATTGGACTTCACATTTTATTATACACCATCAACAGAGCAACAGTGATAAAATCCCCACCCAATCCTCTAGTTCTGCTAGAATTAAAACAGAAGAAATTCATTTAATAGATTTATGAAAACAATTACCAAATGCCCTCAGAGGTCCTTCCAATACTTCAAGATGTCAGCATGGGCTAGCTGAATAGCAATTCTACTTTTCATACAGTATTTGTCCTCTGATTTCAGATCTTATCTTCAATACTTATAGAGCTGTCCAGTCATAGTTCATGAGAATTACAGTATTGTAGACCATCAATAACCTAAGCCATCTTTCTAGTAAATAGGTTCAATTCCTCCTTGGTCAGCACAGTATTTTTATCACAACGCTTTTACACTATAAAAGGCACAGTTGTCTCATGCAGTATTAAAACTGCTCTGATCAGAAGTTCAATCCCATTAAATGATAAGGAAAACTGCTCACTAGCTCCCAAATTAAAGAGCTATGATTAAGAGTCATCTCTGACTCTCATAATTTAACTGAACCGGAGCAGTGAAAGCTTTCTGTTCAGAAATGATAAAGAATTTAACTTGAAAGGAAATTCCAAGTACACTGCTCTTGTTGTCAGGATTGTGGCATGGAGAAAAAAGAAAAAAGCTATATTAATGCACAACAGATTTCTCTGGCCAAAAATTTTCTAAGAGAGCAACGTATTATTCTAAGTTAAGAGCAGGTGTCTGAAACATAAATTTCCATTTATTCCTATCTAATGGCTAGGAGTATACAGGTTTGTCGTTTTAAAAGCAGAAGAGGAACATTTTAAAGATAAGTTAAATTCTAGTGTTCAATCATAATCATTTTCATTTCTTCTTAAGAATGCTTTTTTTTATTTTAAGAGGCTCATCTCACGCACATCTCATAATCAGATTTTCCATTCTTTACTTGGCACTAGAAAAGTTATTTTCCTTCTCTGAGACCTGGTTTTTCTTATTTTTTAAGTATGAATAATAAAACAAAAAGATTTTCTTATTATAAATTGATTAGATTTATAGTGCAGGTGATTTCCTACAGAATTTAAATGAGATAAATGTAAGCATCCTAAACTGAAGGAAAATAGACTAAAAAGGAATGAAGTACACAAAACAATACTTAAATACCTACAACTAAATTGATCATTCATTTTATAATATTCTATACATTTCAATTAATTTCTAAGTTGATCTGAAATATTAAAACAGATCATTATTCTACAATACAGTAGTCTTTTTAATAAAATTAGAAAATTATTCAATTTTATTTCATTTTCTTCATTTTCCATTAAATTTAAAGTATCATGCCAAAGAACCATAAGCAATGAAACTATTATTAGAAGAAAAATTTTACCCAATTTTGTAAACAACATCAAAAGAGCTAAAAAAGATGTACCATCCACTGAGGCCACGGATGCAGGTCAGGCATGGATGAGTCCACGTAAGCCCTGTGTAGCTGGCAGGTTTGTTTGCTCTTACCCAGAAGAACCAAAATATACTAAGTATATATGTGTACAATGAAGATTAGTTCTAGCTGCCTTGACCTTTGTATACTGGAAGAGAAATTCCTAACCCAAGAAGAAGGCAGAAGAATGTGTCTCTATAACTATCTGATCCTTTTCAATGATTTAATCTTCCTTTTTTCTCTAATGCGAGACCTATACATTTAAGCTAATTTTTAAATGTTAAATTAAGAATCATGGAAGTGTTTTAAATATGCTATAACGACAGTTCCATTAAAATGTTACCAAAAAAATATGAATAAACCAATAGGATAGCTTGTAGATCATAAACATTATAACTTTAGGATTACCAAGGATATTTACCTTACTTTCTGCTAGCCAGCGATGTGGGTCATAATGTATAACAGGACCAGAGGATAAAACCTAGAAAAAAAGGAAAAATTATAGAAATGGATTTTTCTGTGATATGAACATGTATAAATGGAAATTAAGGGGAAAGGTATCCAAAAATTTAGTCCCAGAACCTAAGGATTTAAAAGAATAAAGTTGTATCAAGTATTAAACCAATTCCAAACCATTTGTTAAGTGCCTTTATGTTTATTTTTTTAATTGGTAATACAAATCAACTATCAAGTATTATTATCATGAGAATCTCTAAAGGCTGACTCCACAGAGTTTCACAAAGCAAACAACCTTGATTAAAGAAAATTTATTTCATTTTTCTTTGTTTCTTTTCCTCAGTCTTATTCTACATAATGCATTTCACAGAGGTTTAAATATGATTAAATGGAAACAATTTTTTTCTCATTTACCCTTTTTTTTTTTGATACCAGGGATCCCACTCGGGCCGGTGTGCTCACAAGGCAGGCAGCAAAACCACTGAGCTAAATCCCCAGCCCACATTTATCCTTTTTTAATACTATGAGGGCCATTTTGTCTTATCAATGACTGTGAAGAACAGATACAAATTCATCAATATGACTTCCCACAAATATTGGTTTACATTTCAAGATAGTAACAAAATTCTATATTAAATTGTTGTCTGTTACTTTTTACACCAATTCCTTGCCATTTAGTTTTTTGCCTTTTTATTGATTAAAGTTATTCTCAAAAGCTAGCCATGACTTTACAATTATAAACAAAGTTTTTTTTCTCAGTCCTGCTTTCTTCAATCCTGAACTACATATATTATCATCTTTAAGATGCTTTGTTTAAAAATATCCAATCCACGTATAAAGCAATGTCCATTCCGATTCTCAAACACTTGCATATCTTCTTAAATGTGGGCACATTAGAACCCTATCAGGACTCTCTTTATATATCTTAGACATATCAGAAATGTATATTAAGCATTTATCACATGCCATATACAACAATGTTGCATTATTACATTCACTCTTTCATCCACCTTTCTATCTAAATCTCATACTAGTGTCTTCTTTTTCAGTGGAATTCTTCCTAATCATCCTAGTATTCAGTGTTTTCTTCCTCTCCCAACTCTACTGCATTGTTCAATATGTGTTAATATCCATTTGTCACTGATTATTGATTATAATATACTTTTGTTTTTCATTCATCTATGACATATATTCAACTAAGTCTTTGACCTCATGCTCATGACTGAAATAAAAAATCTGATACAAAGAATACAAGTGATATACTTATTTTATGATTTGCTTCACAGATTTATATATGGTTTCGTGTATAAGGAAACAGCCTTGATCATTTCCAGTGGTGTGGCTTAATTTCTCTACACTGCAGATAATAAAGTACACAATCAGCCTCATAAGGCCAATTATAGATCAAATAATAATAGCATTAGCACAGTTTCTGGCACACAGAACACACTATGGCTACAGATCATAGGTACTTTAAATATATGTAAATAAGACAAGTCTCAAATGTAAAATACAGCATTAGATAGGGAACTGAATAAGCTAGCATTATAAATGGCCCTGTATTACCCCCAAAGGTCAGTTTTACTCCTAAAAACAATTACTGCTTATATGAGGCTCATAAAAGGCCATCTGAACATTTTTTAAAAGACAGTAGATACAAATACAAATTATAAAAAATTCTATCAACTCTACAAAATTCTACCAATTGAAATATTTCAATTAAAGATGAAGCCTAAGAAACCTTTAAGTGCATGAATAGAATTATAGTTTTGTATTCTTTTATTCATTTATTTATTTTGGGTACTGGGATCGAACTTGGATCCTTGCACTTGTGAGGCAGGCGGCAGAACCACCGAGCTAAATCCTGGGCCCACATATCCTTTTAAATACCACTTATAAGAGAGAAGGTGGGGAAATATAGGGAAGAAAGGAGGAAAAAAACAAACAAACAAACAAACAAACAGAGAAACCTAGAAAGGAAGGTTATTCTAGAGGACCACAAAGAAATAAAAAAAATAAAAAGAAACACCTGAAAAACAAAAGGCACCTAATTATAACACCATAATTTAACTGCTGTCACATCATAAAATGAAATGACTATAATAGTAAACAATGCTGAATTAAAGTACATTATAGGTATACTAAATCAAAGCAATGCAATGCTCTCTGCACATAACATGGCAGTATCAGAACTTACCACAATGAAAGAATCACTTGCTTACTTTCAAGGAATTCATGATCACTTTTGCTTTTATGTATCTTTTAACTATGACAATAAATTGAGCAGCAATATTCCATTTTAAATACAGTATATTTTATATAATTTACTTTAACAGGAAAGGCAGACAGCATAATAGTTACATGGTTAGGTCCCAGAGTTAGTCTCTGAAGTTCCAAGTCCTACTTTAGCATTTACTAAATGTATGGCCAGGGCAAGGTACTAACCTCTCAGGTCTATTCCCTAAAGTAGATCTAATCAAGTACTTCAGGCATACAGTCGTTTTAGGGGTTAAGGGAGACAATGTGTATATCTTACTTCCCACTGAACTCATAATATTACCTCAACACAGTGAACCCTCAAGTTATGACTGTCCTGACATAACAACTTTGTCTACAACTAGAATTTTAGCTTTAAATTACAAACAAAGTCTTGAGTTATGACCTGTCAGCCACTTGTGCTTCCAGATGGTCTCAGATACACATTTAACCCTTAAAGAGTTCTGGAAGAAACATTACAACATCCTTTCCTGTGTAGGATTGAGAAACCCTGGGCCCATGACTCTCTGTAGGACACTGAGATCTGCCTGTATATAAGAGAGAGACTTTAAAGGCTGTGTAGAGTCTGGGTCTTCAATTCAACAACTTGAGTTACAACCAGCCCTTGGGAAAGCATTGAATTCGTAAGTCAAGGGTTCATTGCAGAGACAACAATAAAAACAGCCTATAATAATAAAACGTTCAAAGCCCAGGCCTCTTGGCTCCAATGATATTTTCCTTAGTCAGAACTGCTGTCCCACTCATTAAATATTTTACTTTATAGACAGAGACAGGAAATTCAATGAAATAGCACCATACTTTCTCTCACCATAACTGCACCATAAATATTATGCCACATTGTTAAAAAACATAAAAATTATTCTATTTCACAAAACTTTCTGAATAAAATTATGACTATGTAATCATATATTACAATTCCATTTTATAATTATATACTAGGAAACTAATGGAAAATGTAAGGCACAATGAGAATTCATAATTACTTTCAATTTCTCTACTGAGTCCCTGGAGAAAGTTTTACAAGCTGCATCAATTTCCTTTCCTATCACTCCAAGAATGGATTCTTGTTCAGTCTCCAGACAAAGAAGTTGATCCTTAAGCTGCAATCTCGCCTCTTCCATTCTCCTTAAGTGCTCTTCTTCATTGCTTATATGTTTTTCCTAAGGCATTGATAAGGAAAAAAACAAAGATTAATCATTAACTAGAACCAAGAAATACATATAATATCTATAAAAACAAAGAATTACATCAGAAAGGAGAGAAACACTCTACCTATTTAACTGAGCTAAGTTACAGAGTTCAGAAATAAAAACATCTGGAAACAGGTGAGCAGGTATTTGGTAAACAATATTACTGTAATTGAAACACCAAAGGAGAAAAAAATTACTTTACCATTTTCATAACATATTACCGTTAACAAATCATAAACCAAAAGCTAATGTCACAAAGTCAGTTGACTTTGAGTTTGCCCTAAACATTAGTAAAATACAAGAAAATAGAAAGTGCCATGTATAATGCCACTAGATTCTTCATTTGAAAAAATAAATGTGTTACCACCTTTATTTCACAAAAAATTTTTTTAGAAAACCTAACTTTTCGAAAGTGGCCATATTACATAAATGTTTTTGAGATATGAAAATCTGATGAAAGGTGAACATTTAATCCAAGAAAGCAAATACATTTACTGAAAACAGTTTTTCAGGAGTCTTCTAAGAGATTATAAAGACTTAGGGGCCTATTTTGGACAAAACAATTCCCAATCACTATGCTTACACAATTTCATTATAAATTGACCATTCTTAATTCAAAACAACAAACTCTAAAATGCCTACAATTACAAAAATTTTGAATACCATTATGATACTATACAGTTTCAAAGTCTGTAGCATTTTGGATTTTGGGTTGGCGATTTCTCAATTGATAAAAGTCCATGCAAATATTTCAAAATCTAAAACACTTCTGGTGTCAAATATTTCAGGTAAAAGATAGTCAACCAGTTATAGAGAAACTCAAAGTGGTACTACACAGGGCTTGTACTAAAGTATCAGAATCACGAGAATTATACAAATAAACAGTAAACCAAGTCCACGATTACTGGCTATTAATGTCTTCTATCATTGCATACTATCCTAATCATCTTTAACTACTCTATTAAATGCAACAAAACCAGAAAAATCATGAGGGCAACAAACCCAGACTGAATGCAGAAGATATAACAAAGAGATTAACTCATTGAAAACTAGTGATGAAAGGCATAATAATGCTTATCAAACAAAACACAAATCACATTTTTCAGTAGAACTTGCATTAAACAATGACTAAAACTTCCTCTTCTCAAAAAGCAGACACTTCCACAATTTATCTTCTGTGCTTATCCCTAGACTCATCTGTCTCCTCTCCAAACTATCTGGTACTTTGATTCCCTACTTTCTCAAGCATCTGTATGTATGATTCTCTTGCCCTCAAATGACATACAATTCTACTTGAACTTGTAGTACTTCAAATGGTGCTGGTAGCCAAAAGACACCATTTATCTTGATGAGTTCACCGTATTCCATCACCAGCTCTGCAAACTTAGGAAGTGGAGTTTCTTTTCTTTTGGTGCTCTAAGTGGAGTCATCTTGCAGTAATGGAATAACATTAAGCTCACAAGAGACTAATGTTCAAGCCAATGCCATTCAATTAACAACATTAGTTTACAATGAGAACCATACCTGCCATATGGATCAGAATGCTACAGTCAGCATAACTAGTACATTGTCTCCCCATAGACTAAACTAGATGAAGAGGCAAATTATCATCAGAATGTTGCTTAAGGAACAGGAAATCAGAGCAAAAAGATTTCTTTTTGTAAAGTAATGTTTAAATGACATCAGGCTAATGGCAGCCCAGCAGGTCCATCTACACATCAGGGATTTATAAACCGCAAAAGCAGAAGTGTTCCATTTTGGGCAGTGCAGGAGAGAGAATGCTGGGGAATATCTCTCTCCTTTGTCTATATTTGGTGTCTGTCCAAATTCTCCTCCTAAATAATATACCACTTCTTTAGACCTATCACTATTTTCCCCAAGACTTACTCTCATACAGAAGCCTTTCTAAAAAATTACCATCTTGGCTCTGACCAATGTTTGGTAGGTTAATTTTATAGCTTATTTATTAGAAAGAAACCATGTTGCCAAGTCCTTTTGGATACTTACCTTTCCACTGCTCCTATATATCTATCATCTATCCTTCCTATCCTTCAGAATTCATGCTTCAAAACCCACTCTTCTTTCTTTCCTGCACTGCCAAAAAAAATGTTCCCAGGACATTATTTATATCATAATATTAAAAAATTACCAAGTTATAATTCTTTGTGCTCTTTTCTCAATCAATAAACTGTAGCATCAGAAGACCACATGTATATTTATAATTACCTTAAAACTAATCTACTTTGAAGAATGCTGTATGTGCTTTAAATACTTTTTGAAGACTAAAGTTCAACACTGTAAAGGTAACTTCATTAACTGTCCCACAGATCTGTATACTCAGAGGCTACTAGATTTCCCACTACATAGGACCCCCCAGATGACTATAATATTCACACTAATGTGATGTTAATAAAGAAAATGGTGTATTAGAGGTTACTGATGTATTAGAAGACTGTCTGGATTCTAAATCCAAGCAATTCACAATGATGTTCTAGCAGACCTTTTTATTTTTTTTTCCTCACAGCCATTTCTTCTATCTACCACTTTTCTGTGATCTCCATTACTTAACTTTTTAAGAAGAAAAACTTACTTCTATCTTTTAATATTCTTAAAAACTGTTGATATTATCAGCTCTATATTATCTCTTTAGCAAAGGCAGAAAATGTAATTACCACATCATTATCCTTTGTGATTCAGCATACTATATCCAATAATCCTTTGAAGTAAAACTCACAGAACCGTGGGCTCACAGGAACCTTAGAGATTAGTACCCGATCTTTCAGGAGCTCCTCCCAACATTTCAGGTAAATGGTCATCCAACCATATGTGAATATCTCAAGTTTCAAGAAACAGAGTAACTCACAAAGCCACAAAATCTACTCATTAGAGTAAGTACTGTAATTTAAAGTACAAACATGAATTCTCCACTCCCAATAAACTTCTAATCTTCCAAGAAAACATTCCTGTTCTTTCCCCCTATTTTTTTTTTTAATTTGACTAGGTTTCTGACATTACACCATACTGATCTCTATCCTCTACTTGTGTTCCAAGGACTTCAATAAAGAGTTAAGGAAACTCTTTCAGTCATTATGTAAGCACTTCAAGAGTTTGGATGTGGTACCCCCATTAAGGGTTCATGTGTTGAAGGCCTGGTCCCTAGCGTGGCAATGTGAAAGATAATGATATCTTTTTCTTTTTTTCAGCTTTAATTGAGTTTATTGGTACATTTTAGGGATACAGTACAGTTACATTCATTGTTGGGATCTTGTACCTCTACATGACAAGTCTTGATTCTCATTTTTTCCCCTTACCTCTGCCCTCCCTTCACCCCCTACTCCCCTCCCCATCTAAAAACACTTTATTTTCATCTTTTCATTCTCTCACATTTTTTTCTTTTCCCTTTTTACTCTTCCCCTACCCATCCCACCTTCCCTACACCTTTAGCTCCTTTCTTCCGATTTCTAAATGTCAGTAATCTTATTAGAATCTTATGCATTGTTGCAGATTATTTACACCAGGGAAACTATTCAGTATTTACACATGTGTGACAAATTTATTTCACTTAGGAGTATATCTTCAATATGTATCCATTTTCCTATGAATGAATCTATTTTCTCATTCTTTATGGCTGAGTAATATTCCATTTTATAGAAAAACCACAACTTCTTTATCCAGTTTCCAACGGATGGGCAAATAGGCTGTTTCCAAGATTTAGCTATTACAAACTGTGCCACTATAAACATGGGTGCACATACTTCTCTGTGATATGATTCTTTTAGTTCTCTTGGAAAGATACCCAGCAGAGGGATGGCTGGGTCAAATGGAACCTCCAGTCCAAGCTCTTTGAGGTATCTCCATATTGATTTCCATAGTGGTTGCACTATATCTTTACAAGGCAGATCCTAGTATAAGTCACTGGAAGTGTTGTCCTCAGAAGGAGTTCATTTTGTTTCTTGGAACTTTGGATAATTCTCACAAGAGCACTTATAGAAGAAAATTAATGGCCTGTTCCCAGTTTATTTTTGGCTTTCTACCTCACCATATAATCTCTCTACAACACTCTTCTACCATGATGCTAACTGCTATGAGGTGACGCTGGGCCACTAACAAAAGGCCAAACCGCTTAATCTTGGACTTTTAGCTTCCAAATCTATAAGCTACATCTTTTTTATATATTATTCAGCCTCAAGTTTTGTTACAGCAATTAAAATAAATCTATTAGAAGCAAGAATATTTGACATTTTTCTGTATACTAAAAAAATAGTAAATATTACAGACACGACTTTTTTTGGTACATATTTGCCCTACATAATGATCACATTAGCAATAGGGAATTTGTACCTGTACAGAGTATAGGAAGACATAACTTCTGCCATCACGCAGTCAACAAATCTATAACTATCTCCAAAAAATTGCACCACTTTCGTTCTGCCCCAATCTAGTTAAGGAACACCTTCAACAAATACTAGTTATAGTGCCCATGGTTAAATCTTTTTCTTGGTTTCATGTTTCAATAAAAGCAGGGGTGGAAAACAAATCTAATTCTGGGTAATGAACGGGACAATAAATTGGCTAAAGTGAACCAAATTGTTCCAACAGATTTGAGGATGCTCACATCAATGAGGGCATATGATAGGCTTTGTTAGGGCATTCCCTAACTTTCTGAATTCAGAAGGGGTAAAAATCCAATGACCCTATAAGAATACTACCATATTTTTAGAGAACCAGATGTAAAACACAGGATTTCAGAGAATGTTTCAAAATATGGAAGAGACAGTCTACCTTCTGTTGTTTAGGATGAGCAGACACAAATGCCCAGAATCAGAGAATCTAAGGAGGGATGGGGGACAAGATAAAGCAAACATGGTCATCCAGGGGATTCAAGAAGATGGCTTTCCTTTGACAATGGCTAAGCTGGAAAAAGAACCTGAGAGAATAAATCCAACCCTTAATTTGTGAAATCAAGAAAT